GGGGAGGGTGGAATTTTTGCATCTGGTGGTGGCAAAGGCCGTTGAGATTCGCCAGATTCTGATAGTGACGGCGACTGAGGCGATGATTGAAACCGAGTTTCATCAATGGCTTTAGACGGCAGAAGCGGTTGGGACTGGGATTCTTCAGCAGCGTTTAACGTTGACGGTGTAGTTTTGGCTTCTCGTAGTGTTAAAGGCTCGCCGGGTTCTGAAAATGACGGAGGCGATGGTTGGAACCGAGCTTCATCGACGGCTTCAGATGGCAGAAGCGCTGGAGGCGGTTGGGACTGGGATTCTTCAGCAGCGTTCGTTGACGGTGGAGTTTTCGGTTCTGGTAGTGGTACAGGCGGTTGAAATTCACCGGATTCTGACAATGACGGTGGTGACGGTGGAGTTTTAGCTTCTGGTGGTGGCAAAGGTGGTTGAGATTCACTAGGTTTAGACAGTAATAATGATGGTGGCGATGCTTGCGACAGAAGCAATGATCGGAACCGAGTTTCATCAATTGATTTAGACGGTGGAAGCGGTGGAGACTGTTGTGACGGTGGAGACGGCAGAGTTTTGGTTTTTGGTGGTGACGCTCGCGATGGGAACTGAGTTTCAGCTGTAAATTTAGACGGCGGAGGAAATGGTGGAAGCGGTTGGGACTGAGGTTCTTCATTAGCGTTCAGCCTTAACGGCGGAGACGTTGGGGTGTTGGATTTTGGTGGTGGTAAAGGCGGCTGAGATTCACGGTTTTCTGATAAAGACGATGGTGATGCTTGCGATGGGTGTGGGGATTGGAACTGAGTTTTATCAATAGCGTTTAGCGTTGACTGAAGGGATGGTGTCTTTTTTGCTTCTGGCGTTAGCGGTGAAGGAGGCTCTGATGTTAGAGGTGGCGGCTGAGATTCACTCAGTTGTGGCGGCAATGGAGGCGTTGTCTGCAGTTGAGGCTCTTCCTTTGTTTTTGGTGATAAACGTGACGGTGGTGATGATTTTGGTTCCAGTGGAAGTTTTGACGGTGAAAATTGATTTGAAAGCAGCCGCGGTTGTGGTTGAAATGCTGGTAACTTCGGTTCCGGTGACGAAGAGCGGCGATTTTCACCATCTTTTGAAAAAGACGGCGGGAGTGAAGAAGGCATTGGCGATGGAAGTTGATACGGAGGTGGCTGAAATGGAGGTGACTGTGGTGGCGATTGTAACAAAATTTCTTGAAGATCCTTTGGTGGTGCGGGCGGTTGGTTGCTGACGCTTTGCCTTAAGTGGACAAGCCTAGCTAAATTTCCGAGCCGAAATCTCCGGCGAGACTGACGATTCTTAAACATTTCTTTTTAAACTCTTGTTATATCTTTGGTCGTTGAATGTATATTAGTAGTATTTATATGTTCATTCTTATAATACTGTAGGTAGGAATAAGCTCTATGACGAGAGGAAAATATCAGTTGCAGACAACTTTAGACTACACGAAACAGACCGTATTGACACCAAAGTATATCATAAACCGAAGATAAGTATTGGATTCGCCTTTGTCATTTACCTTTCCACCAATCACGTGGTTTAGATACCTTTATTTTCTGAAATTCCAAACTGGCCCATTTGTCATTAGGCCCATTTAGTAATTTGGGCTTATGAACAGCTTATAAAACGACCGATAGCGATAAGGAAAAAAATATGTTTAAACTTTAAAATCATTCTCTCCACTCTGGTGGATAATATGTAAAAGGTCTGAAAATTCTCATTTCATCGTCTTCCATGGATACTCTCTCAGCATCCGTTTCATCTTTCAACCTCCCTTCTCTCCCTCCACAACCGCTTAGATCCACCTCTCGCCGCTTTAAAGCCACCGTTAACGCAACCGCTTCTGCTGCGTCATCTACTACCAGTAATCTTTCAAGACCTACACCATCTTCATACTCCCACAACAAAAGCCCTAATTTCTCCAGTGGAATCTCGTTATCGCTTCCGCACGCTAAACCCTCGAGAGCTCCACCGCGTGCGTCTCCTTCGGTGCACGAGAAAGCGGCGTCGGGATTTGCGGCGGCGCTCGTTAGCGTTTGTCAATCGAAGAATTGTCTTGGTCGGACTCAAGAAGATGTCAGAAGATTGATGGAGTTTCTTGTGGGAGAAGAGAAGAAGAGGAAGGACAAGGTCTTAGTCAATGACTTTGTTGAGAGAGGTAAATTTGGTAAACACTTGAAGGGCTTGGTCAAGATGTTGATTTCAAGAGGTAAAACAGGGATTTTGTTTGATGTTTTAATGGAATTTGAGAGTATCTGTAATGAATTGGTTGTTGTTGGTCCAACACAACTTGTCTGGGTTACTTGAAGAAACAACTAAAAGATTGTAAAGAGATTATTACATCAAATCCAGAGTGTGCTTTAAATGGAATTTGAGAGAATCTGTAATGAATTGTTTGTCATGGTTTCTTGATGAAACAAAAGATTGTAAAGAGATTATAATCAAATCCAAAGTTTGCTCTCTTTAGTTTCCAAAAAGAATTAAAAAAAAGGTTACTGTCTTTTATGTTAATCAGACTTTTACATTGTCTTGATCTTCTTCTTGGTTCTTCTTCTTCTTCTGCATCTCCCAATGTATTTAAGAGCTTCATCGATCAGAATCACAGGGAAGGAAACAAGAATAACCACAAACCATTCCCTGAAACTCAAAGGCACAATCCCAAACACATTAGCTAAGAAAGGAACATAGAGAATGACACAGTGAAGCCCAAAGGAGACGGTCATAGCCACAAGAAGCCAAGGGTTTCTCCATGGTGGCATCTTTAAGAGACTGTTGTCTTCAGACAAAGCGTTCAGCGAGTTAAACATCTCAATTGCCACAAGAACAGAGAGCGATAAAGTCATCGGCTTGACTTTCCCTGAAGTGAAGTAATCACAAGGATTGTTCTCAAACGCGATTGTCCTAAACCCGCCAGCGATTGTGTAAGGAGACGCAGTGAAATTCAATCCCCACGAAGAACATTCAGACCAATTCTGAAGCTGAGTGAAGCTGACCAGTGTGTGTCCGTCTGAGATTAGGCTAATCCCGAGGAAGGAAGCTTGTGTATACCACAAGACAAAGACACCAACAGTGGCAACTCCAACATAAGAACCGATCACAAGATACCGAATAAAAACCCATGAATCGATGAGTGAATCGTCGCTTTTACGAGGTGGTTTCTTCATGATATCAATATCAGCTGGATTGAAGCCTAACGCTGTAGCGGGAGGGCCATCGGTTACCAGATTAACCCAAAGAAGCTGAACCGGTATCATACATTCCGGTATCCCCAATGCCGCCGTCAAGAAGATGGAGATTACTTCTCCAACGTTTGAGGATATCATATACCTTGAAATGAAAATCATTTTTATATACACAGAGGAAGAAAATTGGTATGATATGATCTAATCTTGTTTTCTCTATTTACCTGATAAAAGCTTTCATATTGTTGTAAATGGATCGACCCTCGGCTACAGCTGAGACGATAGTACTGAAATTATCATCTGCAAGAACCATATCAGAAGCTTCTTTTGCAACCTGTAAATTGTACAGAGCCATCATACAGTAAGTATCAGAATGTGTGCATAAAGCTTGGTCCTTCAAAATCGCAAATTTCAGATTTTTACAGTTAAGTTAGTTAATTTTTTTTTACCTCAGTTCCAGTGATTCCCATGGCGATTCCAATATCAGCTAATTTCAAAGCAGGAGCATCATTCACACCATCACCTGTCATCGCAACGATTTCTCCCATTTCCTTGAGCATTCTAACGATTTCTTGCTTATGCCTCGGCTCAGCTCGAGAGAACACTTTCCCTCCAGATTTCGACAGAATTTCAGATCGCCGTGAAGCAGGAAGAGACATAAACTCTCTACCTGTGAAGCTACTTTGCGAAAGATCTTCATCCTCTGAAAACAATCTAATCTCACAACAAATAGCTTCAGCCGTTGATTTGTTGTCTCCAGTGATCACCATTACTCTGATTCCAGCGTCTCTACAATCTTCAATTGCTCTTCCAACTTCTTCACGTGGAGGGTCTCTGAGACCAACAACTCCAACAAAGATTAGGTTTGTCTCGATGTTCGAATAGCAAGAAGGGTCTAAAAGCTTCTTGTGTGAAGGATGCTCTTCAGAAGAGTAATCTGAAAACTCTCCTAATTCGTCTTTGTAAGCTAATCCTAAACATCTTAATCCTTTTGAGGTCATTTCTGAATGTTTCTTGAGGATAAATTCTCTGCAAGCTTCATCTAAAGCCACAAGAGATCCATCAGCAAGCTGTGTATATGAACTTCTCTCAAGTATACTCTCAGCTGCACCCTGCAAAACAAAAAAAAAGAAGAGAAGATTCAGAAGAAGTTTTTAACTACAGAAAACTAACTTTGAATAGTAAAAAAGAGATGTGTTTACCTTAACGAGAAGCCGGTTTTGTCCATTTGGTTCACGCACGATAACACTCATGGACTTACGGACACGATCAAACTCCAATGTCGCTACCCTTTTCGATCTTTTGTTCCACCAGTCACAGCAAGCTAATGCAGCAAGAATGGAAAAAAAGATCAATCAACAGCAAGATAACATTGCTAAAATTATGACTGAAAACACTATGAAACTGACCTAGCTTCACTGAGCTACCATTGTCTGAAAAGTTAGCAGCTTCCTGGATACTCTCACCGTTCTTCTTCTCCGGCATACCCATCTTCTCAACAAGAACCTTCAAGGCTGCTTCTGTAGGCAAACCTGTGGCTCTAAACAGCTTGCCTTCATAAAACACTCCAGCATCATTACAAACTGAACATATCTCAGCGACAGCTTGCAAGTTAGCATCCATATTGTAGCATCCCCAATCCACAATTCCACCATCTTTAGGATCATAAGTCGTACCATCTACTGAAAAGACTCGAGAAGTCGTTGTTTTGCCGCCGAGAGTGAAGAACTCGGTTGCAGACATCTGGTTAGTTGTTAAAGTCCCGGTTTTGTCTGAACATATAACAGTTGTGCAACCAAGTGTCTCTACACTCGGAAGCTTCCTGACAATCGCGTTCTTCTGCGCCATTTTCCTTGTCCCTAAAGCTAAACACGTCGTGATCACTGCAGGTAAACCCTCTGGAATCGCAGCCACGGCTAGAGCAACCGCGATTTTGAAGTAGTAAGTGCATTTCGCAAACGAAAACCTGAAGTTCACAGGTTTGTAACCATCCACGACATCCCAAGAAACAAAGTTCTTGTAGTTAATAATCCACACAAGAACACAGACAATACAGATAGCTTTAGTCAATCTACTCCCAAACTCGTCAAGCTTCTTTTTTAAAGGAGTCTCGCTCTCTTCGAGCGACGCCTCGTGAATCTGCCTCTGGATTTTCCCGATTTCCGTATCCATACCGATACTTGTCACAACGCAAATGCAGCTTCCGTTAGCAACCGTTGTTCCCGCGAAAACCATGTTCTCTTTCCCTTGCAATTCACAATCATCCACGACTATGAGATTGGCTCCTTTCAAAACCGGCATTGCCTCTCCGGTTAAGGAGCTTTGCTCGACTCTTAAAGTAGATGTTTTCAAACCGGAAACTCTCATATCAGCAGGGACTTTATCTCCTACATGTAACTCAACTATGTCCCCTGGAACAAGCTCTCTAGCAGGCAGATTAGGTAACACAATTCCGTCTCTAATTACCTTTGCCGATTCACATTGCATCTCTTTAAGAGCCTCAAGCGCTTTCTCTGCATTGCTCTCTTGCCACACACCAACCACAGCGTTTAAAATCAGAATTAAAACTATCACAAATGGCTCAACAAAGGCCTCGAACCCTGAACCTGAGCCATTTTCCTCGCCTTCGCCTAAAAACGCTAAAACGAAAGATATAAACGCTGCGCCGAGAAGAATCTTCACAAGAGTATCGTCGAATTGCTCCAATACAAGATGCCATAAGGGCTTGCCTTTCTCCTTTGCGAGCTCGTTGTAACCGTATTTTTGCCGGCGGATTTGGACATCTTCGCAGGTTAAACCCTTGTCTAGTGTTGTATTGTACTCATTCAGACATTGCTCAACGGACCACGACCACGCCGAGAACGACTTCTCCTCCTCCATTGATTCAACAGTGCTTTACTTTTGAATTACTTCAAAGCAGTTTTTTTTTTGAGAAACCGTTTAGGGATCAAATTCCTGCAGAATTTTCAATGAAGCAGCAAATTTCAGTTAGTTAACAGATAAAGGTGTGGTTTTTCTTTAAATATATTGACGGTTTGATGTCCATTATATAAAACAGAAGAAGATATCAGATTAAATTAACCGAGATCTACCAAAAATCGAGATTTTGAAAAAACCCAGAAACCAAAAACAAAAACTGAGTGAAAGTGAGGGAGACAGAGCATGTAAAAAAATCCGAAAACAGAGTACTCTTACCGAAATTCGCTTTGGTCATTGAAATATCAAAAACCAGAGAAACCCCATTATAAATATGATTTTGACCAAAAGTTTGCTTGGAGACAAAGCACAAGACCCAGAATTTAAAAAAAGGAAGGAGAATTTTAATTTTCCAAAGTACGATTCCTGTTCTACTACACCACTAATAAGGGAAAGAGGGAGGAGAAAAAGAGGACAAGTATTTTTGATTTGGACAAGTCGTAGTTTGTGGTGAAACTCGTTTTCTTTTTTTCCTTTTCGACTTTATTGCTTGTTTTGAATATATTTTGCTTTCTTTCTTCTTCTTCTTCTGTGTTTGTGGTTTGTTTGCTTTTCAGAAAAGCGAAGGTTTGGTATTAGTGGTGGTGTGGTCCCATTAGATTCGCTGTTCAAAAAGAAAACGGAACGTTACCCATTCATCCCATATGAAATGACTATAATACCCTTCTTTTAAAACCGTTTTTACATGTTTGACTTTCCCTTCCCCGTACGGCTCAGTCGTAGGATTTTCTTGGAGAGCGGGATATTGGATATTCCATTTTTCTCTCAAATTATATTTTAATTAAGGGAACTTTAAATTAAGAGTACTACTATTATTTTTTTATTACAGACAAATAGAAGCAAAGTCAATGATATTAGAGTTAAATAACCAATGAAACAAACGCAAAAGTTCCTTACGGATTCTTTTTAATAAATGAATCTTTATTTTCTCTGCAAACATCTGTCAGTAGGAGTGCTGTCTGAAAATCTGTTTTCTTGTTTACCATATTAATTACGGTATATTCGATTTAAATAAATAATCATTGGTTACAACAAAAGCAAGGTTCCACGAAGTTTCTTCCATTATTGCCTCCTCTAGCTCCACTACGCTTCTATATTTTATTTTTCTCACATCATAAAAATCTTCATTAACCAAAAATATTTTAATAAATTGTGTAATTATTGATTATATAAAACACCATCTGTTATCCTATGTGACGATTACAAAATTTGATTAATGATTTGCAGATACGTCGATCATCAAATGTAATGGCAACGAGTTTATTAATATAAATAAATAGGTTGACAAACGTAACAAAAACTAGATAGCGATCATGAGTCAAGTGACTCAAGTTCCATTCGGTTTTTGGGCCGTAGAAAGTTTTCTTTAGGCCCAATCAGAATCCAATGTTAAGGAGATCAATTTTAACGGCAGTGCACAGTGAGATACCCACGGAGACATACGGTGAGCGCATCTTTAGACGAGCAGATAAACATATGAGTTACTTAACCAATTAAGTAGCTAACAAAGACTTGACCCCAAAAAAGAAGATGATAGATTGCAAATTTAGGTGAACGATAAAAGAAAATGTAAAACTAATTCTACTATAACTCGTAAGGTTTACCTCTCCTGTTTACGTAATGTCACTTAGATTATGAAATCTCATGAAGATATTAGTTAGAGATTCTAGTTAATTAATGATCAATGATCCTAATTATCTGAACGGAACGGCGTCATCCTCACAAAAGCCTTGCTCGGGCGATTCACACGCCTACTAATTTGACCATATTACCCTCAGAGTGATCATCGTCGTCACAGTCACTAAACTGTTAACGCCGTCAAAAGATTCCGTAACGGGGGTAAGTTCAACAGCTCCGGTTTGATCGCCCAATCATAATCTCCGCCGCTGACGTCAGAATCTCTTCCTCTACTGCAATTTCCATCCAGAAGCAAAAGGAGAAAGCTTCTGAGACGAAGTAGAGAGAGAGAGGGGAGAAGAAAAGAAAGCAATGGGTCTGATTACGAATAAGGTTGAGAGAGATGAGCTTAAACCTGGAGATCACATCTACACTTACAGAGCAGTCTTCTCCTATTCTCACCACGGTATAACTTTGATTCTTCCTTTGTTTTTTGGTTTCGTTTGTTTTCACCATCAATTGGATTTTGATGCATTTGTGTGAATTATCCAGAGTTCTTCATTTTGCGAATTGAAAGGTTTATTTTACCTTTGACCCTTTCACAGAAGAAGAAACTAACTATTCCTTGGTCTCTATTCGGCGATTGACTCTTTTGATTCTGTCAAAATCATCTTTTTTGGTGAAATTGATATCTCTGTTTGGTTATTAGGGTTTTGCTCTTGCCGAAGTTATTGACTTTATAATCAAGACGGTATCTTTGAAAGGGCTTCTCTTTTGTTTTCAATCTTTGTGATTTTGACTTCCCTTTCTACAGTCAAATGGTGGCAACAAATAGATTTTGATTGCTTGTGTTGACATTTCGATTGAAGAAACCTATTTGTTTTCTTCTGAATTTTTCCCACATTGGCAGGTGTATTTGTCGGTGGATGCAAGGTGGTTCATTTCAAACCTGAGCACAGCTTGAAATCTCCCACACTCTCTTCTTCTTCTTCTTCAGCTTCTTCTTCTGTTTCAGAGCGTAATGATTCTGCAGAAGCTCCTTGCCCTACATATCCTGACTGTGGATTCAAACAACCAAAGAGCGGAGTAGTGCTTTCTTGTCTCGACTGCTTCCTCAAGAACGGCTCTCTCTACCGTTTCGTGTATGGAGTCAGCTCATCGCTTTTCCTCAGCAGATTCCGCGGTGGCACTTGCACAACCGCTCCATCTGATCCGCTTCAAACAGTTGTCCACAGAGCAATGCACCTTCTCCAAAACGGTTTTGGTAACTACGACATCTTCCAAAACAACTGCGAAGATTTTGCTCTTTATTGCAAGACAGGATTGCTCATTCTGGACAAGAACGGGGTTGGAAGAAGCGGTCAAGCCAGTTCAATCCTTGGCGCTCCTCTAGCTGCACTCCTCTCTTCACCTCTCACATTGTTGATTCCGAATCCTGTTGGTGTAGCAACAGTCACTGCTGGGATGTATTGTATGAGCAGGTATGCTACTGATATCGGTGTTAGAAACGACGTCATCAAGGTTCCCGTTGAGGATTTGGCTTTGAACCTCGGCATTAAAACCCTTAAGAAAAGGTGAAAGCTTTTGACATTAAGGGGAACACAGATTCTACTATGTCCGTGGAAGAGTACGTAAGATTGGCCAGTGTTTAGTTGTGATCTTATCTTCCCCTTGATCTCATTTCTTGTTTGCTACGGTATGATGACACTGTAAGGACTCTCTTTGATTCATTGTGGATTCCAACATTATCATTTTCTTAGTTCTATAACTTGCTTTTTGGGCTTAAAAACCATGCCGAAGAAAACTTCGGTTACAGAACTAAGAAAACTGATAGACTAAAAAGCTTATATATACATGAAAACTCCGGTTTAAAAATCTTCATGCCTATTGAGATTGCGATGTGTAATCGAAAGTGATTTAGGAACTAAGTGGTGGTGGTTGTTTAGTGTTGTTCTTGTCTCCTGGTTTCTTTTTTGAATCTTGTTCGAAATCTGCAAGATTTGCCAGTTCATCGACAGCTTCGACGGTTGTTTGAATTCTAGCTGCGTTTTCGATTAACAATGAAACCAAAGTGGCAACCGGAAGGACTTCATGTAGGCTCATCGGCATGGTTCTGTCTTCACTGTCTCCTTTTTTGTTCTCTTCAGATGGAACTTCTTCTTCAGGTTTGTTAGTTTCAATGGGAACAGTTTTTAAGGTTTCTTGAAGCTCTTGTACCGCTGAGTTCATATCAAACACTAGGAAATCCATCTTCGAAGATTTTCTCGTGTTCTTCATCATATCCGCTAGTTCTCTTAAGATTTTTGAAGAAGCTGAGCTCAGTTTCATACAAGCTTCTCCGAAATGCCTCTTGACCTGGTCTGGTGCCTGTTGAAGCAGAGGATCACTGGTTTTAGTATTACAACCTCTAAAAGTTAATTCTTCAAAAAACTATGATGAAATCTAAAAAAGTTACCTCTGTTTCATAGTTAATGCAAATACTGAGATTCTCAAGGCAATAAGCACATCTGCGCATTGCAGCCCCTATCTTTACGTATAGCTTCCATGGATGCCGGAAGTTAAAGCTTCCATGTGCTGGTTCCCATCTCGCTAGATTCGCCTGAGAGATTTAGCCGAAAGGCGAATAAGTAGCCGCAAGGTAATAATTGACTTTTTTTATCCCTATTAGATAATCTGTTAAGTTACCATGGATTCCTCTGTTCCCTTAGAGTTTAGTACACATTTAAATCCTTGCAGTTTCATGTTACTTTCTTCATCTTCATTCTCATTCGTCGAGACGTCTTTCTTCTTGAAGTACTCTGCTACACAGCCTGCACGTTTAAATGATGATCAGCGCAATAGTTAATGCGGAACCTTTCATAACAAATTCGATTTCCACGTTCCCCCTTACCGTCTAATGAATCGGCAAGCTTTTCAAGGTTACGTTGAACAAGACGGTGAAGCTGAGATCCTGCCCAGATTGGACAGAAGAAGACGGTAATGATAATGCAGATAGATGTTCCAATTGCAATAGTTGATACTCTCTGCTGAGCCAACTCAACTAGCTTATCTACTCTGTATCCGCCTACTGAGACAAGGCTAAATGTGAGGATAAAGATCATTGCTCCGTAGTCGAATCTGGCTTTAAATGACGGGACAAACCGCGAGTACGTAGCTGCGAAAGCTGCAAGAATTTAAACCCACAAAAGGTTTTTGTTTTAGTAAAGATTGATCCTATACAACAAAGATTGATCCTTTTTTGGGTTTTGGCCATTACCAAATAGAAAAACAGAGCATCCAATCACAAAAATCTCAGCTTTTCCTGATTGAGTTGCAACCCAATGAACAGCAATGCCTAGTGATCCAGCTAATATAGTTGCCACCACTCTGTTCACACATTTGGAGAATGTTGCTCCTGTTGTATACATAAGTGATACATACACGTATATACGTATACATATAGGTCAATTTCACTCATTAAGAAGAAGAAAGTTGAAAACTTTTGATTTTGGGTTTGGTTTACATACCGACATTGGACTCGAAGACGACGACAACAGTCATGATTGCCCACATAGCATTCCCTCCAACACCATCATACAAAGGTCTCATGTAATAAAAGATTGAGACTAACGAAAGTGCAAGTCCTACTTTCAGACAGTGAACCACTTTGGCCGGATCATCTGCCCCAATCCTCCAAGCCTTCCTCATAAACTTTGCAATTCGCTCCACGAGTACCTTCATTACCAAACCCTTTAACCAAACAAAGATCCTTTTACTTACTCCCGAGGTTGGAACTAATCTCTCTGTTGTCCCATTGTCTACACTTATCCTCCACTCTAGCTTCCCTGCTTCTTCTTTTGATCCCATATTATTATTATTATACCCGAGAATTATAGATCTTAAACCCTAAACCCAAAAATCCGATCAAAGTTTTGATCAATAAATGTTTGGGTTTTGTTTGATGAGCAATGCAATATGGAGTGTTACATATATATATAGAGAGAGATTACTACGATATGTAATAGTTATTACAATTTTCAAAGTTATTCAAATCATTTTAAGTGGTGAACTAATATTATTTGTTATATCCACTACTAATCTACTATATATTATTGATCACTCTCCCACTTGGATGTGCAAAGAGATGGAAGTGGCCTAATTAAAAAGTAATATGATTAGTTTCAAATTTTGTGCTCCAACGTCATCGCACAAGTACTGATGTTGACACTGTCGTACGTACATCCATCCATTTCAATGCAACATCTGTTCATCTCTGTTGTATATAAATTTAAAATAGTAAATTTAATGTCACAATAAGATATAAGAAGTTTCAATTCATATATATTAATTGTAATCAATGAAAAAAAAAATTATATTAATTGTAATCTAAAAAGGGATCCAAGATATCAACCCTAACTTGTAACATAGTTATATATATTGTAAGGTTTTTTTCTACATCATAAATGTAAAATGTGAAAGGGTTACTATCATTTATGATTAATGAGTTCATTACCCATATTCCATCAACTGTAAGGTACTAAGGTTAATAAGCTCAAAACTTTTTTTTTCTCAAAACTTTCTTCGCGAATATATATTTTGCATGAGGGGCTGTAACTACGAAATTAAGTTTTTTTTTTTCATTTCAAATCACTCTTCTACATTCCAATAGGCGAAAGTATCAATTAAAATCAATCAGAATCAAACAAATGAGATTACGATTACATCCACTAGCCACTAAGTGATATCAAATATATGTGTGCGTGTGCGTCTCCGTGTGCATGTGCATTGCATGCATACATACATACACCATTTCTCATCAAGTAAAACATATGAAAAGTGGATGGTCGTAAGCAAACAAAGCCCTTCGCATATTCCTTTTGGTTGATTAGAGAAGTCATATCACAATAATTATTTCATAATTTGTCTTATTTGTTTTTTTCAGGCAATGAAGTTTGAATTGAATTTGCTATTACATGCACTAAGTGATATCAAAGGCACGTGAAAGTGGCAGGTTTGACTTATACTACCTTTTAATAATGTAGATATAGAAAATTAGACGATCTCCAATGGTGAGAAACCCTATGGAGTTCTCATCTTATTTTTTTGTATTACTTACACATATATCTACATTTGTAAAGAGAATTTTAGTTTTTAAGCTTCCAATGGTAAGTTTTTAAATCAGAGTCTCTCAAAAAAAAGAAATAAAATGAGAAGAAAACAAATAAAAAATAAAAACAAATTTTCCAACCAATTAAATATTGCCACATCGGAGTCTCTCATAGGTCTTTAAAGCTCTCTCAAGAGAACCGATTCTCTCCCATTAACCCATTTAATCTTTTTGTTTAATTCAAAATTAATATGAGAACCTCTTAAAAGACCACCTTTGGAGATGGTCTTACAATTCTTGGGAGGTACAAATATATCAAACCAATTAGAAGAAAAAGATGACATAACCTAACTTTGTTTTAGGTCACTAAGTGAGCCCCAAATTATAAGAGACCTAATTTAATTGTTGGGTTCCCTATCAAAATATTATCTTGCCCTAAGTGGACGTACTTATATATATTATCACTAATCAAGATTTTATTTATGTTTTAAAATTCTTATTTGTGTGGTCGAAAATTATTTGAAGAATAGAAAGTAGAAGATATTGTGACACTTTAGCTACTTCGGGTTGCCCTATTGGGTATTGTGAACATTTATGAAGTGCCCTTCAGCTTATCACCTTTTGTTGGTGATGTGATAAGAAGAGCGGTCTAACTTTTTGTCTTATCGAATTTGTTTATAAATATATGGCTCGTGTTGGGAAATTAGGTCACGATTGAAATATAATTTTGGTTATAAAGATTTTATGGCATATTCCACTAAAATAAATCTAAAATCATTGGCATGCAATAGAAATTTCTGTTCATGTGATTATTCTAAGCTCTTGCACTTGTGATGATCTCAACAGCTTATCGTGGATTATTTCGGATTTTGCTGACACCACAATTTTTTGGAACAATGTGTAAATGTGGCCTAAACATTCATACGTCATATATCCTTACTTTTTTTTTTTAAACTCTCATCTATATTTTGTTTTCACTTTGCTTTTAATTTAAAATTGATTGAGTAACACCATTTTAAATAAAATTAGAAATGATAAATATTTAAGAGAAAAATATTATATGCGAATTGAAATCCGCTGTTATAGGTTTCAGAAAAGAAGGTTTTTAATGAGTTTGGATCAGGACTAAGATAGTAAAATCTTGAATTTATTAAAACTGAATTCAAATCCAGACATTCTATATATATATATATATATATATCCAATTTTTTATATGAAAGTACATTTGAAAGTTAACTTCTTTAATTTTTTGTGGTATATCATAATTTAGAAATGAATTATTCAAAGTTTAATGTACTATTATTTTAATTATTTAATTTTAAGCTGTACAGATTTGGATATAATACAATATGTATTTATGGATATCTGAATAGACGTAAGCCATAGATCCAGATTTAGATATTTCTCACATGAATCCGATGGATCTGAATATCCTAAAATTCATGGATATTTGGATCTGCTGCACCCTAATGAGTAAGGCCAAAATCAAATCTTTTTCCTTCCATGAATGTCGAGTTCGCTAATCTCACTTATTCATATTTAGCACAAATAATAATAAGTAAATAACCATGCACAATGCATATCATTTTGGGCCAGACGGATTATTCTCAAAAGGGTTATTAGGATTTAGGCCTACCTTACTAGGCTCAGCTAAATCCAACATTGCAGGCGTATTTTTTTGGTATCACAATTTTTTTATTTAATTTTCTACAGAGCAGGAAACCTAAAGCTTCTCCGTATCTTCTTCTCATTAGCCTGATTTTACTACATTCCTTCGTTATTCATATGAACCTTTATTGAACCTACTACGTAAAACGGGCTTTGAACGTGTCAACAATCCTCCAGTAAAGAATTGAGTTAGTTTGAATTCAGCAGTGGCGACTGGCGAGAAGCAGCTGTGCAACTACACAACAAATTTACTATTACCTTAAATGTATGCGTGTGTTTATATTTGGTTAAAAATGAAAGCCAAAATAAAGTTTTAAGAAAAGCTTGAAGGGAGGGATTGAAAAAGATGATTCAAAGATTCATTTTCATTTTTTAGGTTAAACGTGTACACAGCAGATCATGTTTATATAGCTTCCAGTATTCTCTCAAAGCATGACACATGATGTCTACTAACACATCACTACTAGAACGTGAAAACAGTTTTGCAAAACTATCGTAGAATTGTGACAAAGCTTGGTGTAAAGACTCGGTTTCAATCACATATTTTGCTTTCCCTTTCTCACAAGCTGAAATATCTGGTTGTGTTTTCTCTAATTAAAAAAAAAAATGCATTGAGACAGGGGTCTTCTTTGGTCTTCCCACGAGAGTAAAACAAAATTATAAAGCAAATAGAAACAGAATCTAAGTGGTCATTTGAAAAAACGATTGGTTATTTGAATAATCTTTAGTTGGAGCAGGTACGTTGTCGTGTCCGTTTTTATTACAAAAATATTAATATAGTAAAGGAATACTATGTTACATTGCAGTTTTTATGATAATTTTCTTGGGTCACGGTGTGTTTCTCTTGTATTCAACACGCAATTCTGTTCATGGACAGTTGATCAGGTCTCCTTAGTTTCCAATTCAGACTTTGCTTAGAGATAAATCTCACATAAACATAACTGAATAAATATTACATTATAAAAACTAATCGGAAGCCATATAGGATTTAGAATCCCATCCATCCTAATTAATATGCATGTTCACAAAAATTGTATCGCGTAAAATTTCATAATACCAAAAAGTGGACATAAATATAACCCATTATTTTGTATACAAATTGATACACTACTAAATTTTGATTTCCAAAAACGAGATTACCAACACAACTTCTGCACAACTTTAAGTTCTAAGTAACCAGTACATATCCTGCAAAAAAATGATAACTAATTAGTAAATTTGCTATGAATTTCACGTGAAAGTTGGAGATAAATTAATCTAAAACAATACAAAAGTGATATAAACCAATTGAAAACTTATAGTGTTTTGGTTTTGAGTTGAAACAACACAAAGCTTAACATTGATCAAATAAAATTATGATATGATTAACACTATATATTTATATGTAATGATATGGATTAGACACATATATGTGTTAAAAGGTCCTAAAGAAGCAAACTAAAAGCCAAAGAAGTGGCTCCATCAGACAAAAGACAAAGAAAGTGAAACAGAAGAATTTAAAAAGTGGAACGAAGAATCATCATGCTCCTCCCAAGGCGACTCTTCCGGGTCTGAAAATTCCAAATATAATCACATTTTTTTTTTTGGTTTTGTCTTTATTGTCTCGTCCTTTCATTTGACATTATTCATATCACCATGTTGGTCCACCACTATCACCACCTAGGATGATTCCACTCCATAGCTCATTGCTTGAACCACTTTCTCTCTTCTTATTTCCATCATCGTGTCTCTCATGGTGACGATGATGTTCATCATGATCTCCATAAGGAAACATCAACTTACTTCCTCCTTCATTAACAACGAAGTTATCATGATTAACAATTTCCTCTTTGTTCCTATCTAATGAAAACCCAAGATTTATTTTGCTGTGGTCATGATTATACTCTTGACGAAACTGAATCATTCCCATCGGTGCGGTGAAAAGACAGTTTTGCCCTCCGGTCATAGCTTGGTCGGTGAAATGACCATAAGGCCCTTGAGCTCTCTCGTCTTGCATAGTAGGAGCGGAGAAGGAGAGGCTAAGGCCATTATTGCTTGGATGGCTCTTGCTAGGTTTTGATGATGATGATGATGATGTGAAGACAGAAGAAGGGTTGAGATCTGGGATATTCTTGGTCGATGTCGTCGGAGAAGAAGATGAGGAATTAGAAAGTAGAAATGGAAGCTTCTTGTTCTTTCTACAACCTCCGCCTACGGGGACGTTACGGAGAGAGCCACCTTCTGTCCAATATCTCCGACAAGACTTACACAAGTACCTAGGCTGTGCTAAGCTGTAGTTGTTGTAATAACAGAACTTGGTGTTGCTTGAGTTGCATCTAGGGCAGTTTCTTGGTTCTTGTGGCCTAGTGGGCATCGTCGTCATCATCTTCTTCTCCTCGTCCATTATCGTTGTCGCTGAATCCATTGTTGTTGTTCTTGGTTGTGGTGTTGTGATGATGGTGTTATAGGGATTATTGTTAGTAATATGTTGGTATTGATCATGAGCCTGATGATGATAGTTATGATGGTCCATGATGTGTGCTTCAATAAGACTTTATACAATCCCTGTGAGATGTATGATAAACTCATGAAAAGAGGAATAACAAAAGTGGAACCTATCAAAAGTAGCACACAATATAAATAAATATATAAATATAAAGCTTTATTGAAAGAACATCAGAAGTCATAACTTACAAGTCCATGAACCAAAATATAAGATACTTATACACATGGAACTATCTTATATATAAACGATCAAGATTAAATCAATATAGGAACTGAGAGAGTTGGGACAAAGAATCACTTTCTAAACGCATGATCGAGCAAGAAAAGTTATATAAGGCTAACAAAAGGAAAAATATACTTTTTTCATTAAAATTCTCCAGATCAAGTAATAAAAGGGTGGTAGGAGCTGATCTCCATAAAGCCAGACATCTTTTTTAAAAGCAAAAAAATTTCAAAGAAATTAGAAGGGTGGAAAGTAAAAAAGAAAAACCCTAATACACTCATCAACTAAAAAGCAAAAGAAGTTAAAAAAAAAAAAAAGAAATAGAAAGTAATTGCAGAAGAAACAAGGAGATAAGAGAAAAAGGGAAGAAGATGAACTGACCTGATGATCAAAGAGATGACTTACAGAGAGAGAGAGAATGTTTTAAGGCTAAAGTTTGGAAGTGTTGGGTTTCACTTTTATGGGCATTTTAGTGGTGTGTTTGTTTTGACTTATCTTTTTCTTCTTCTCTTTTCCTTTTTAATAGAAAGGTTAAATCATCTTAAACGTAAAGTAGTTGATATTTTACCATAATATATTGAATGAAAATTAAAATATAGTTTATATACGTTTTCTCACTAGTAATTCAGTAAATAATTTATGAAATCTAATCTTATAATACAGTAAAATTACCTTCAATTGTTAAATTTTAACTTCAAAACTTAAATCTTGATTGTAAAAGAATGCAATATCAAGTTTTGATTAAAAATAATTGAAAATGAAATTTATACTCGACATTGATGATATTTGTCTTCTGTTACAAGTTACCAATGAGTACGGGCCTAACATGGGCCGCGTATTTAACTTTTCAGGTGGCCCTAAATATTGCAACTGTGATAGCGGTCGCTTGCTTATTTGGGGCCTTGCCAATTTCATAGGGATACCGAGAAGACGTTTCTGCGTGGGATTAAAACACACTGGGTTCACTCATTCTCCACCATGGATCTATAGTTAATACACGTGTAGGAGATCCAGCTGTTCACTATACCAACGTGTTACGCTGTCGTTTGGGAGATGACGCAGAGGCTTGAATTTGGTTCTCCGTTTATTGAGAGAGATGTGGTCTAATTATGTAATTAGTTAATTACTCATGTATAGTTTGCAATTTACATATTTGTAAGGCATACATAATCGATAGATGACCTAGTTATGAAGATGTAAATTGCAACTTTGCAAGCCATAGATAAGACTTAATTAGACCACATCTCTCTCAATACCATTTTCTTCATGCCTTCCCATTGCAAAACACTATAATATTCAGCGATGTTTTCTTGCCTGGATTAGTAATGTGACTACAGTCTAAGACTCTAAGTTTGATAACGTTTCCTTGGAACATTTGGATTCATGATCATGGTCTAAAGAATTTTTATCATGTTCATGTTTGTGTTTCTTTAGAAAAAAAAGGTGGAATATTCATCATAGTCAACATGAGTAAGATTCTCTGTTTCTCTTTACATAAGTTCCAAAAACGTTCAAACAATAACAAACACAACAACAACAATAAGCGTGGAAAAGTGGGCTTCACACTGGTTTTTAATGGAGAGACTTGTAGTAATCAGAAGAGCTTTCATGTCTTTGGGTGTTTTATATCTCAAATCTTTGATAGAGCCGAGTCTTAACCTGTAGTCTTCTTGTTCCTCCATGGAACCACTTGCTTTAGTCTCGTCTGATCCAACCACAAACAGTGTTAATGCTAACTTAATCAACATCCACTTTTGGGACATTATATGTTATATAAAACTCTTCTAATGAAGCTGTCCATATGATTATGTAGAAACAGAACATAAAGCAGAGGACTTACCCAGAAGTGAGACTTTGAAGAAGAAGGTGGTGCAGGCAGAGTAGAGAAGCTCCCTGTTCTGCTAATGTTTGTAATCTTCACTTCACTAAACCTGCTGCTTTGGCTGCAACTAATACCATCACCATAACCAAAGCTTTTGTCTTGTCCTTCTTCCTCCACTTTTCTTCCGCATCCACTCTCTCTGTCCACGGAAGATGGGAACACATAACTACATCTACCAAACTCTGTTTTTCCCTTCAAAGCTCTCCTCTTACTAAACCCAAAAAACCCTAATCTACCTCTCTTCTTCACAAGAGCCAAAGAGCCACTACTCATGTTCTGGTGCTTAGTCTCCTCATCAAGATCCTCCAAATCCCCATAGATGTCACTCCGGAAAGACCCATAACAGTCACCACTACCCTTTACCAACATCCTAAAGGAAGGTGAATCCAACCTTCTTGATCTTGTCATGCTATAAGGACCATCAAAGACAGTGATGGGAGAAAGAAGTTTGGTAACTGGTTCTCCATCCTTTTCAAGCGATTGTAGCCTTGGTGGTAGCTCCAAGGACTTGTGGGTTTCAGGAGAAGATGAAGAGCAAGAAGTTAGTGGTGAGGAGGAGGAGGAGGAGGAGGCAGAAGAAGAGGAGTGTTGTTTGGGCTTGCCAGGCTCTTCTTCCCAGCTAAAGGGGACTGAAGCTGCTATTGAACTATGATGAACTGGTGATGACAGAGAGTGGCTATGACTGTTGGGTTTAATTGGTAACACTGGTAGTTTCATTGCTGTTAAGTTTTCTCCTTGCTCTGTTTCTTTTTCAGCTTCCATGGTTCTATGTGGAAGTTTTCTCTCTCTCTCTCTCTCTCTCTCTCTCTCTCTCTTCTCTTCTCTGAGGTGTGTGTCTTATATCTACAAGTGTTATATGCTCTGTCTTTATCTAGGGCTTTTTCTCTCTCTTTCTAGTGTTTCGTGTAGATTTTGGAGTCAGGGATCTGCACATTAAAGGGACAAGAATAAGATAGACTCCGTTAATTCAAAAATTGACAGTGGCATTTTCAAACACTAAAGATTAATAGGTGTCTTTTATCAGAAAGAAGCAAGTTGAAAAGCACAAGTTGGAAAGAAAACATAAATACAAATAATGATAATAATAAGTTAGATGATTATATCTTTCAGAAAAACGAAAAAATGTCATAATTCAAATTATATCGGTCTCATCTTATCTTATTACTAATGGTTTTACGTGTCCGGTATATAGTTAACCTATGTAGTCTATTTTAAAATGTTTGAAAAGTATACATTTCGAATTTACTTTCTGGAAGTTTTTCTTGGTTCGACGATGAGAGAGAAGAAATAAAAAGAGAAAAGTCGCCGGAAAGTGACATTGGGGAAGCTTTAGCAAAAGTCCGGGTATGGATGTTATAGTCAGCCTTTAATTCAAATCCGGCGTGGCAAAGAAACAACGTAACATGTTTCCGATAAAGAAAAGAAAAGGGAACCAACACAAGACCCAACAAAAGAGACTATTAATTGATAGAACATTTTTTTTTTTTTTATGTTAACTGATGAGGACAGATCAAGAAAGCAAATTACCTGAAGCAACATGAGCCACTTGGAGCTCGTTAACATTCCAAACCCATTCATTTGCTTCTTAACATGGATATATGTAATATAATGCGACAAGAAAAAGATCACAACGGTTCCGAGTAAATAACACTTAAACCACAAAACAAGCACTACAATTGTATACTATTAGACAATACTATTAAAACAACGAATAGATTATTCGTTTGGGAAGTGTCGAGGTAGTATTTGACTCAAATATCTGCAAAGCAAGTGAATGATGGGAGGAGAAAAGTCTTTCGGTAATTACTAATCAATATCCAAATGAGTAAAAGCTTAATTGTGTGACCCTTTCATAGCAACACAAGCGACCAAAATAAAGCAGACTACTGACAAGTGACAAGTGTGGGTGGGTGTGAAGAGTTCGCTCGTCATAATGAAATGATTTGATATCACATAGAAGTTATGAAGTGGGGAAATTTTAAGAGTTAATTTTTGCAATCTCCAAGCTGGCTGTATAACTATTTTAGGCATTATTGCACATCAAAAAGGACAACGAACATATTAAAAGCAACGGGTGACAAATAAACTAGGCTATTTTTTTTTTTAATTCGTATGAGAATTACTATGAGAATCTCCACAGAAAATCCAAATATATATATTTTAGCAAAAAAAAAAATCCAAATCTATATGATGCATATATGCATGCATGCTTTCATCTTGATCATATACCAGCAAGTGCATGTACATAAGTACCTTCGTTTTACTTTTAAGTTTGCTTATTTCAGTTACTCAGTTAGAGTAAGGTAAAAACGAGGCAAAGACATGTAATTTTTTTTAAAAAATTACATTTTCTAAGGAAAAGAAACCTTGATTCAATAAAGACAACATTTCTGGCTAAACAAATAGATATAGTGAAACTGCAATAACTATTTTAAAATTTTAAACCTCTTTATTTGAATAGATATTGTTGTTCTGACAAAGAAAATGGAAAAAAATTAACAGCAAAAAAAAAAAAAAGGAAGGCAGCACAAAGTCCCAAAAGAAAGTTTTGTAATGTAATGGAGTCGATTTGAACGAGCAGAGACAAGAAACAGAGTAATAAAGAAATGAAAACGAAGATTCCAAAGAACATTTAAAGATTTTATCCTCAGACTATGAGCCACTTTATTTGTGGAACTTTCTTCCATGTCCAGTCTCGTTACTATCCCTCCAACTTTCAATAACTATTTTTTTTTCAAAACAAAGGAACTGGAGGGAATCAAGACAGACAAAAGAGGAATTTCATTTGAACTATAATAACATGAGGCTATAAAAGGAAAAAAGAACTTGATAAATCAAGAAACGACCTCAAAGTCTATATTAAGACGAATAGTTTCAAAATAAAGAAAAAAGGGTCAGGAAATTAAATTGTTGATCTCTATTTCAATTCTAAGTTTCAAGTAACCGTTTGGAGACGTTTTTTTTAAGAATAAAATCTGGAAAGCAACATCTGCACAAAGGTAGAGATGTCTCAGCCCAAGTAAAACACAAGCGGTGCGGGCCTGAGCCTAAAATTATCTGTCCAAATAAAAAGTAGGCCTTGCAGGTTTGACCCGTGCGGAAGTTGGGCTCTACAGGTTGACCCGAAGCGGATTTGCGGGTTCGCGGGTTGAACCGCAAAATTTTGTTTCTCATCTCTTTTGTGTGAATCTGCGATCTGTCTAGAGAAAATTGTTCAAAATGTAAACTTTTTCCTTCAAATTTATTCTTTTCTTGGTCCCCATTTTGGCTTACTGAGCTTTGAGAGCTGCAATGGTCGAATATTCACTTTTGAAAAGCACAATGGATTAACCTTGAGATTTGAGAAGCTGTTTTGATTTTCACAAGAAAGCTGATCAAAAAGCACGACCTTTAGTTCAGCGTCGCTGCGTCGGCGTCTTCTCCGTGGCTTCGGATCTGGGCCGAGGAAAGATTGATTCTGGGTATGCAACTTTGTATACGCAGCGCTTAAGAAAGTTCAACATTTGAAACTTACCAGAATTCATGTAATGATACTACCTAATTGCTCTTTACAGTGAAAGGAAAAAAAAAATGGTGCACAAATTGGGAGCTTTATGAATTACGATGTAAGTAATTTTCTTATGTTATTTATGTGTCTTATTTTCTAGATTAAGTTTGCAAGTTTTATCTCTTATGATCTAGTATAACATTATAGTTGAGTTGGAAGTGTGCTCCACGTTTGGCTTTTACGTTGAATGATGCTTGTTTTTTGCAAGTGTGCTCCATATTATAGTTGTTGTTTTTCGTTATAATATTATGTCAAGTAGACAACGTCGTTTGCAAGTGTGCTCCATTTTTTAAATATTTCTTTCGCCTTTTTGTTTGCAAGCTGGGTGGAATTTACGTATATAAACGTAATATAGGCTGGGTGGATTTCAAACGTAATACAAACGTAATACAAGCTGGGTGGATTTCTTTGCCTTAAGTTTTTTTTGCTTTCAGGATTTATAAATGTAGTTATGATTCTTTGTTTGCAAGCTGGGTGGATTTTCGTCTTTTTTTTTTGCAGTCTCATGAATTTACTTGAAGCAAAAATCCTTTGTTCTTCACGTATATAAACGTAGTTATGGTTTTTTTTTGTTTTTTTTCTTTCAGGATTTCTTTGCCTTTCGCAGGTCAAGTGTTGCTGTTAGTGGGAAGACTTCTCTGGAATTGTATCTTGATGAACCAGCATTAGACGATATCGATCTCGATATCCTGGATTATTGGAAAATTAACTCAAAAAGATATGGTGAGCTTTCTTTAATGGCTTGCGATCTGCTTAGTATACCCATTACGACAGTAGCTTCGGAATCCTTTTTTAGCATTGGAGCTCGCGTTTTGAACAAATACAGAAGCCGGCTTCTTCCCAAAAACGTGCAAGCTTTGATATGTAGTCGCAATTGGTTAAAGGGATTTGAAGCATATGAAAATGGTAAATAAATTTTTTGTCATAATCTTTACACTTATTTAATCATAACTTATTAGGTTCACTAACTTAATTTAATCATATATGCAGAGGAGGAGGAAGAATCTGATAGTAAAGATAAAACACTACCATCTTTCCAATCCATTCTCAATGATGAAGATGAGGACGAAGATGAAACTGAGGATGAAGACAAAAATTGAAGAATTATTAACTTTGGTTTTGCTTCTTGAATTTGAGATTTAAGTTAAAAGTGTTAGTTTGAACTTCGTTTCTTCTAGGATTTTAGTTTTTCTTGCTTTCTCTGATTTTAGCTTATGTTACTTTCATACTTTCTTAGATTTCATTCTTCTTTTGCTTCTCAAATTCTTGAAACTTTTTTTATTGGATTGTTGGTGATTTAGTTTGAATTTCAGTTAGAGTTTCAAAATATTGCTTTTAAGTTGAATGATGCTTGTTGTTTCAATTCAAATCATTACTTTATACAACATAGACAATTAGACACGAGTAACTAAACTATAATGAAAAAATTGAGCTGTATAAAAAGAAAATAAAGAGAAAATAAAGAGAAAATACAAAGAATCCGTAGGCCAGCCCGCTAACCCGTAAATTATATGCGGGTTGGGCTTGGACAATAGATTTTAGGACCGCAATCCGCGATGGATCAGCCCGCAAAGGCCAATAAAAAATTAAAACCGCATCGGATTGAGCTATTTGGATGCGGGCTGGCCCGTTTGACATCTCTACACAAAGGTCCCAAAAAACAGATCAATAGAGATAGAAAAGATAAAACGTAACAATCAAAATATCGATTACATTCAACAGTGTTTTGGTATGGGAATTAGCAAGTCAAAACACCAAGGAAGCAAATGTTCCCAGAGATTCTGCAAATTGAGAATAGAGTAAGTGAAGTAGAACTCATGGAGTGCGGTTTACGGACCCAACAATACTATGCTATGCTGCTTAATTCTCACGCTCGATCAATGGCTTGTGAATACTTCTAAATGACTATATATGATAGGTAGAAAGATTATGAATTTGGAAAACAAAAGCAATTCAATACAAATAAAAAAGATTCATTCAGTACATCGATTTTGTGAACGAGTGTCCCTAACATTTACTCCAGTGTCCGCAAAGCAAACTCAACGGCAACAATTCCTCAAGATTTATGCGAAATGGAAACAGAATTATAAACCGATGATAACACCATATATTCAACTCACTAAGAATGGTTTTAAGGACATGAAGAACTGAAGAAGACATGAAACAACTATCCGAGACTATCCACCAGAATGAAACCAATCAGCATCACAGTTTATAGACAATCTAATCGTCATTCTTATTGGCGAAGTTTTTTCCAGTGAATTGTTCT